GGTTTAGGGTTTAGGGTGGTTTGCAAATAACCTGTAACGGCTGCCGCAGTCATCTACACTAGATGCCATCGCTGCAGATACGGCGTGCCTTGAGATGTTCTATATTCCCGCAGTGTTGCCTTCTAACTTTTGTAGACGGATCTCATTGTACCGTGAACATGCTGAAGAGCGGAACCAAAAGAAAAGATGTACAAGCACACAACACAGCTTCCACTTGAGGCTGAGGTCGGTATTCCAGACGAATGGCCATGTACTCGGTGGTTTAGGGTTTAGGGATCAGGGTTTCGGGTTTAGGGTTTACCTTAAGAACCCAAAACCCACTTTTTGTGTAGGTTCTTATCATAAACCCTAATATGGGATTTATAGGGACCATACAAAAGAGTAGGTTTTGGGTTCTTAAGGTAGGGATCATTGATGATCATGACGTTTTGAGTCAGGTCAGAGCTTGGGATCACGGAAACGTCCCGGGATATGAATGCAAAAGGGTCAGGGGGTTTACCAATCGGATCTTGGCTGACTTCTGAACCCCTCCAAAAAGTTAAACTTTTAGTCTCCTTATTATGGTTCATATAGAGACCCAAAAAGTTAAAGTCCTAAGAGCCAACCAGAAGAACACCAAGGGATCGATCTTGCACCCTGGTTTTGGGCATGCAGCTTTGATAACCGACACCATCACACTAGCCGTCACTAGCCCCGACGGTCAACTTGCCGACGGTGAACCCCAAAAGCACTGCTGCCCTAAGCAGCCTTGAACCCTAACCCCTAAACCCTAAACCCTAAACCCTAACCAGCCTTAAACCCTAACCCCTAAACCCTAAACCCTAAACCCTAACCAACCTTAAACCCTAAACCCCTAAACCCTAGACCCTAAACCCTAACCAGCCTTAAACCCGAACCCCTAAACCTTAAGATCCTTAAGCTGAACCAACCTTAAACCCTGACCCCTAAACCTTAAACCCTAAACCCTAACCCCTAAAACCCAAGCCTTAAGCTGAACTACAAGCTTCAGCCAAGGGTACCAGGTGGCGACCGGGAGTCGTAGCGAGCGCATCGAACAGCAAGTCCTCAGCTCGCGTCACTGCTTGAAAGCCAAACAGCATTCAGGCTAAGGGCTTAGAGTTTAGGGTTTAGGGTTTAGGGTTTAGGGTTTGGGGTTGGGGGTGGTTTGAGGTTCAAGGATTGTTGGTGGGTGTGAAGTTTAGGGCATATGGTGTTGCTGAATGCGCAATTCGCTCATTCTTTGGAGACACGGTTCCAAACTCGCCGTTGCGAGATTCGCATCGATTTGGTACAGCTAAAGATGCACCAGGACAGCCACTAGACTATAAGCCCAATTTGAAACTCGCTAAACAGCCTGGTTAAAAACAAGCCAATGCTTTAAAGTACTAGGGTCAGTGGAAATCATACTACAACATGCCTCATCACCATCATCATCATGAACAAGATCAACCTCAGCATCGACATTGACAACGACATCAATATCAACATCATCGCAACCATGATGTTGTCACCATCATGCTCATCATCAACAACATCATCATCAAGAACATCATCATCACCAACACCGACATTAGCATCACAATGAGCCGAGACCGATGTTCCCGAGGATCGGGGGCCATTTGGGGCCTACCTTTTGGAGTTCGGGCACGGTTTAGGGTTTAGGGTTTAGGGTTTAGGGTTTAGGGTTTAGGGTTTAGGGTTTAGGGGATTGAGGGCTTCCAAGCGTAAGGGTTAAGGATCCAGGGCCTAGTTCGCAGCCCGGCATCGTCAATATCCAGGATGATGCCCAAAGCAACTGCCTCAGACTGGCACTGCTCCCGATCAACTGTAAGCCTCCAACGCCACTGAAACCGAACCCTTCCGAGCTGAGGCAGAGACATTGAGGATCAGCTCGGTAACATTCACTGTGTACACCTCACCGCGACAGGGCAACCGAAGTCGAGGTGAGAGACGGCCAAAGGCCTTAAGAACCTCTACACCCTGATGGTCCTCACGGTTTAGGGTTTAGGGTCTAGGGTTTAGGATCTAGAGCGTCAACGAACCAGTGTAAAGGGAGTAGGCCCCCACCATTAGCCCACGCGAAGAAGTGTCCGAGAAGCCAGAAAGAATGTCCCGACGTAGATCAGCAGACAGGCCGCAAACAGCCTGACCGGGGAGTCTTCCCAAAGCAGCAAGTACTGAGGATATAGACCCTCTCAATAAGGTCCCTGATAAGAGAGCCAGAAATTGGGTGAAAAAGGGTCCCCATGAAGGGTCTCCCTCATACTACCCAGGGACCCTAGAAGTATTCCAGGTCCACAGGCACTGGGCCAGCAAGAAGATAAGAGCCAACACCACTGAGGACAAGATCAACTGTCGTGGCTTGAAGACCATCCCTGCTCCTGAAGCGGTCCTGTATCCGTTCGGGTGAGGATCCAAAAACAGCTTCTACTGGAAGAAGGCACGTGGAGCTTTCAAAGCCCAGGAATCGCTGAACCCTGGACCCGCCTGTACGCCAAAAGGAAGCTGCTGATCACTTTGCGACGGTACGGAATTGACAGAAACCTCCGCTGACGGTCCGGGGCTGAGGCGGTCGACCAGGAGCACGCACTGTCAGCAGCCACAGAACCAAAAGGATAAATGCCAGAACCCGAAACAGCAAGGAGGGATGGCCCTTCGCATGCTATGTCAGAGGAGCAGCATGGAAGCTCTAGAACCCATCCGAACTCAAAACTTCCGTCTGAGTCTCCCGCCAAAGCTCCTGCCCTAAACCCTAAACCCTAAACCCTTAAACCCTAAACCCTAAACCCCTAAACCCCTAAACCGCCAGAGCTCCTGTAGTGCGTAACGAGAGTGAAGGGGTTTTCTCTGCTGATGATCTTGGTAGGTCCTCGGCAAGTCAGATGCTATCGGGCCGTCTGATTCCACCTTCCAAACCCCTAAACCCTAGATTTACTAAACCCTAAAACCCTGAGCCCTGAACCCCTAAACCCCTAAGCCCTAAACCCCTAAACCCCTAAACCCTAAACCCTAAACCTCAAACCCTAAAGCCCTGAGCCCTGAACCCCTAAACCCTAAGTCCCAAACAAAGCCAAACAGACCAGGCGCCCCTTGGAAGCGCCATGATTCCGCGGTGCAGAGCCAAAGCATGGTTGATCTGACCAAAGGTTTGAGGTTCAGGGTTTAGGGTTTTAGGGTTTAGGGGTTTAGGGGTTTAGGGTTTAGGGGTTTAGGGTTTAGGAGTTTACGGTTTAGGGGTTTAGGGTTTACAGTTTAGGGGTTTAGGGTTTTGGGTTTAGGGGTTTAGGGTTTTGAGCCTAAACCCAAGCAAGGTTTGTTTGGGGTTTGAGTTGTTAAGGTTTAGGGTTAGGGGCTGTGGTTCCACCTGAAGCCGACGGGTTTAGTTGTGAAAGAGGTTTGGGAGTTTACGGTTTTCCATAAACCCTAAACCCTAAACTCTAAACCCTAAACCCCTAAACCCTAAACCCTAAACCCCTAACCCTAAACCCCTAAACCCCTAAACCCTAAACTCTACACCGTTTCGGGGCCCAGGACGAGAGGGGAAGTCGGCACTTCTGCTCCCTGAACCCTCACTCTGAACCATGTGCTGCACCTTTGCTCTAGAGGGTTTAGGGTTTAGGGTTTATGGGACTTAGTAAGTAAGGTTATAAGTCGCCTAATTGGGGTTATAAGTATAGTTACCTTAATTAGCCCTACTTACTAAGCCCCATGATCCTTTAAGCAATGCTGGCTGCCTACCCGACGGACAAGGGGCCAAAACCTACCTTTCGCCTTCGTACTCTCGGGGTCATCTTGGTGCGGGTTTGGGGTGTTTTGAATGACTGTTACGGTGTAGGAACCCTAAACCCTAAACCCTAAACCCTAAACCCTAAACCCTGAACCCTAAACCCTAAACCCTAAACCGGTGTAGGGTTTAGAGCTTCGGGCCTAGGGCTTAGTAGGGTTCTTGAATGACTTTTTGAGTTTTTGGGTGGAAGGTCTAAGGCTTAGGGCCTAAACGGTTTTTCAGCGCACTTCCCAGAGACTCCAAAACCCCTTAATTAAGGAATATACCTTAAGCTTATAATAGGAATCCGGATATGATTTAAGGTCTACTCCTTAATTAAGGGGTTTTGGAGTCTCTGGGTTCCAGGCTTCGGAGTTTAAGAAGCCAAGGGCCTCCTTGGCAACCATCAGGTACCAGCATACCAAAGCCACCAGACCTCAGGCGGGCTCTGGTCATAGCAGCTTGCGGAGGCTGGGTTCAGGGTTTTAGGGTTTAGGCTTTTAGGCTTTTAGGGTTTTAGGGTTTTAGGGTTTTAGGGTTTTAGGGTTTAGGTTTTTAGCATTTAGGGTTTAGGGTCTAGGGTTTCAGGGTTTTGGGTTTGGGTTTAGGGTTTAGGGTTTTAGGGTTTAGGTTTTTCGGGTTTAGGGTGTAGGGTTCAGGATTAGGGTTTACTGCTAGATCATGCACAGCAGGTGCCGACAAGCTGCATAGCATCTGCCCTGTAAAGACGGCCTCAAAGCCAACGGCGTCAGGCTTCACATACTTGCCTCGCAGGAGAGTGGGCTGCAGGACCACAGCTGAAAAAAGCAGAAGGAACAGGCGAACGTTTAGGGTTTAGGGCTGTTTGGGTTTAGGGTTTAGGGTTTAGGGTTTAGGGTTTAGGGTTTAGGGTTCAGGGGAAGATGAGGTCGCAATGATAAGCCAAGTGGCGAATGTTATCCAGCAAAGATACCTGCAGCCCGGAGATGTGCAATGACCTTGCAAGGGGTCAGTTGACAAATGCTGGCAAGCAAACCAAAACCAAGAACCAAGCTGTCACGCACGCCACCACAAGGATTAACTATGCTCACACATTCTCACACCAAACACAAAACCACCCACAACGTGAAACAGCTGCGTGCCGAGAAGCTTGTCAAGCGAGCAGACTCGCTCTGCGAGGGAAGTCTGGGACTGCGCGTCATATTCACTGAGGGCGTGTCCTGGATTGACTTCGGAACGCATTGCTGCACGAAACTCTATACCCCAAACCTATATTAAAAAGGAGATATGCAACGAGTCCACGCTACAACGAGGCGTTTCGGGTTTCGGGCTGACAGTGAATCACACATCCATCAATCACAACTTGGCTGTGTTCGCAATTGTGGAGACACAGGTTCACCAGTGTAAGATCTCTTTGCAATCAGCTACGAAGGCTTCGTTTTTGTGCCAGAGGCATCGAGTCCACTCGATGTTTGCCCATCGTCCTGAGGAACGGCGCCAACGGAGAGCATCCAGAATCGACCTTTCGTCCACTTCAGGTTCCAGGAAGTTGTACCAGGCGATGCCAACGAACACGATCTGCCTGGGATGAGAAGGTCGCGACAGAGATCTAGCCTTATGGGTTCGGGCCTTCGAATCGGAGAGGCAAGAAAATGCCAGGAATGGTAGGGAGGCTACAAATCCTGAACTCTAATCATGGTAGGAGTAGTGGTAGTGGTAGTGTCAGCTACATTGGACATGTTGCTGCTTGTTGCGGTGTTGGTGCTGTGCTCTTGGCATCTGCAACATTATGTCATAATCCTAAAGCAATCATATTCCAACTAATTAGGCCTCTAGCTAGGCTTCTATATTCGATTATATCGTGTCTTTCTGGACTCATAGTATAAATATTGTAAGGAACCCTAAGGAATAATATTCAAAAGTACTTAGGCTTCTATAGTCTACCGTGTCTTCCTGGGCTCAGATGCATGATGACATTGACCACGGCCAGCACGAAGGTTTGACAAGAGCCCAAGGGACCTTCGGCCAAGATCACACAGAAACGCTCTATGCAGAGAACTGTGAGGGTGAAGGGTTTAGGGTGTGGGACTGTGAGTTGTTCTGAGGGTCTGGACCTAGAGCACCCGTGCCGATGAAGAGGAAGAGATCCCACGTCGACTCGCCGAACCTGTAATACTCCTGAGCCGTCGGCTGGGCTGCTCTGGTCACACAAAGTGCTGAAACACTAACAAGCAGACACGTCATAGCTCTAAACCCTAGGTCCTGAAACTAAAGCCAGGCATCTTTGGTTTGCGTGTCGAGGACCTTTTCGGTAATCGTGTCCTCCCAAGCACCACGAGATATGCCGACCCAAACACCACCTCGACGAAGAACCCTAAAGCCTTGCGCAGGCGTGCTGAGTAAGGGAACACCACAAGAAATACGACCTGCAAGACTGCGCGGTCCATCTTTGGAGGATCGAAGCTCGAACGTCGTCTCGACAACTTGGACACTTCAGACTCAAACTCCTGCGCAGAAAGCACCCAGAAGGCTGCAACTTCACACACAGCGCCCGTGACACGTGGTCACGAAGGTCGGCACTTGCAGCTTTTGCAACTTACAGTAGCCTTATCGTACCCTTATAATAACCTGACAGTCACCCTATAATCACCTAAAATTCTGACCTCATGGTAATCTTATAGTAAAGACAAACACCCCGACCTTGCCGCTGATCGTGGGAAACTTCAGCGCGGAATCATGTTCATCATGTTCTGGCAGGACAACGATCGCGGAGTGTTGGTGAGATTTGCACGCTACAGTAACATGGCAGCCAGTGTCGAGCTCGCTCTACTGCTTGCACCCTCGGGTAGCCTGATATGTTGATGCCAGCTTCTGCCAAACCTCATGCCCGTGTCAGAGCGAAAATCCAGAACAAGACTCGCACGCAGGCAGAGCCGTAAGAAACCCGAAACCCTCCAATAAGGCACACGCGCACGTGTGGAAAATGCTCGTCGACATTGATCTCAAAAGTTTCGCTACCGCGCTGTGTGATGAGAGCCTGGGGCAAACTCAGCACAAAGCACCTCAAAGAGTTCAGGGTTTTGGGCGTCAAGTATCAGACAACTCCGGGGTTGATTTAAAAACGTGCAAAGTTTCGAAAAGTTTCGAAACAGCCCCGCCTTGACCAAGCGATCTAACTCGCTGATACGGGCTTCGAGGACTGGAACGGGCGAGACGCTCGCCTGCCATCGTCATGCCAGTTAGAGAAAAGCGAGCGAGCGAGCGAGTGAGCGTGGGCAAAGGTCGCATGCAATAGCTGCACAAAGTCGAATCGCCCACTCCTGGTCGCACCAACCCACATCATAGCCTCCAGTTCGGCGAACCGCTCGTTGATCCGGTCCAGAATTTCGACATCATTGAGCTCACCTTGCAGATGTCATGTGAGCCGTCCTGAACGCGGAAACCCTCTATCGTCTCCGAATGTCTCGGATAGCAGCATGGACGAAGGCTCTTCCTAAAAAGGTGTTACAGGTGCAAGTCGCCCGGCAAAGAATTCATATTGAGGGTGCAATTGCAAAATGGCAACAATGTAAACCGGAATATCACGTTGCCCGTCACCAACACATACTCTTTGAACATCCATTGCTCGAACCTGAAGTTTACATGCTTGTGTACCCTGCCGCACTTCTGAAGTGCCACACAACTTCGGGCAGGTCCAGACTCGGCACAAAAACACACGATTTGCGCAGCGTTCCAATCGCCCTGTGCCTGCTGGAAACACGGGACTAGCTGCCATTCCTCAGCATAAATCAAAGGAACGAACACCTACACGACTTGATTGCAATGCAAACATGTCTAAATTGATATCTTCGCAGTGATGAAAGCATCCTCATGTAGAAAGTGTTGTATCGAACATTGTCGTTAAATTACACTGCTCTAGGCTAGTCTAGGCTGTAAACCTCATACCAATTCGCACCGCCTGTGAGCCGCAGAAGCTTTCACGCAAGTTCGACCAATTGAACGAACTACTCGTCTGACGAAACAAGATAAACCTTTAAGCCCGAAGCTCTGAATGCGGGTGTTTAAAAAGAACACAGCAACCCCTGAGCCCAAGTTGCTCGAGACAAGTGCACGGAGATAAAAAAAAAACAAAGCTCCTACATCCTAAGCCCATGCGAAAACCTTAGACTCAAAGCTTAGAACCTCGATGGCCTGCAACAACTGAAATTGTCAACTGAAACTCTACATCGTTATTAAGTTTTGCTTTAAGCAGTTAAGTGAAGTCGAAACCCATTGCGTATCACGTTGGCAACTGCCCCTTCCCTCCTGCAGGTGCAGACAACAAGAAAATCAGCGTGCAGTTTGCGCTGGATCAGGGCCTGACTTACCGTGGATGCACGGCCCAGCTCCATCGGATGCTTAACTTGACTGGCACTCCAAGACAGGAGACGGTGGGCATGTAGGGTTTAGGGCCCAGCGTTTAGTTCTATCTCGTATTTTTTAGGACCAGGAACCAAGCGAAGCTGGGCTTGGCGTTAGTTTAGTGCTGGGTTAGGTTGTTTCCCCCCCGCACCGGGGGCCCCCACCCCAACCTGTCCCCGGAGGTGTGCACTTGCAGATGCAATCAGGAGGTTTCACACTCCGGATTCATTCAACAGTGGAGCCTGGTTAACCACTCCTATGAGGGATTCGCACCTCTTTTCCGTCGTGCTCAAGGGCCCTGGATGCAGCGGAGTCAGGGCATGCATGTTCGCATGAAAGCAGCAACGATTGCACTGAACAACCTCTTTTAAGTGATCCAGACCGGTTTAGGTTGGATCATTGGCCTGTAGAGATAACCAGTTGGCTGCCAAAAGGTCCCTAAGTTGGTGAGGGGGCTTGGCTTTTGTCAAATGGTCAGCTAACTGATGATCCGTGTCGGCCCACTTGAAAATTTCCCGTAGAGCTTCACCCTCGGGATCAAACTCTTCGGCGCCTTCTTTGATAGCGCTGATGTCGATCGTGAGCCGCTTTTCTTGAGTGCTACTTACGGGCCCATCCTTCGTAAGAAGGTCAAAGAGCGAACGACAGTCTGTTACAGGATGCACCGGAAGGAACTCAGGTGGTAAAGAGCCTGACTGCACCGGCATGTAGCTCTGCACCAACACCTCGGCGAGGAGCTCGCGTAGGAAGATCCCGCTGTCAAATGCGGTGTCCATCGCCATGGTCTCAGCTGCTAGGGTGCTGCGGCACTGTCGCTGAATGCGGTGGCTTCGCCAGTCCATTAACGAAGCTTGGTCTCCTTGAACTGTCATCACCTCGGGGCCAGCGACGAAGGTGAGGAAGCCTGCTTGGGACTTCAGTCCCTCGGCGTTTGCCCACGAAGCATCGCTGAAAGCGATGATCTTGGCCTTGTCCAATGGAACTGGGACGAAGGTCATCTTCCAGTCTTGCGTCTTCTGAGCCTCGCGGAGGAGCTTGTTGATCTCGACCAAGTTGTTAACGGTAGGCTGCCCAGACATGTTCAACGAAGTCGCGGCTGCCAAATCCGGACGGGTCTGGCCGATCAGCCAGTGCAAACAGCCTCCTCCGGACTTCAACTCGGTAACTTCGGCTGGCGACAGTGGCTCCAAGGGAGTGACCGATCGCCATCGGGGCACGTTGTAGACGGAGATCGCCTGGATGAACTTCTCCTGGCACAAGGTCACCGTCCCGTCCTTCAACTTGGAGATCTGCTTGCCGCCGTACTCCAGCACTTCATCGGTGCGTGAGTCTGCCCAAGCGCCGAAATCGAAGGCTTTTTTGACTCTCTCGAGTACTTCGTCTGCTGTGCCCGGCTCCCCTGTACCCAAAAGGTCATCCACGTGGGCTCCGAGCACTAGTATCAGCCGGCCCGCCTTGTAGTACATGAAGAGGGCCTTGTCGAGCACCGACTGCACGAAACCGATCTTCTTCAGGGTGTCCCGTAGGTGCCGCCAAAAGAGGCGTGGGGAATTGGCCAAACCGAAAATCCCGCGCACGACCAACAGCAGTTGGCCTGCCACTAGCCCCGGCAGTCCTTCCTTCGGCTGCCTCAGAAACAACGGCTCTTTTCGGCTTGCGAGACTCTGGTCTCCCTGAAGAAAAGCTCCGGTGACGTCCGAGTTGAAAAGGAACCACGACGTCATAGACGATGCGATCTGTAAGATCACCATCAACGACATCCGAGTCATAGTCGGCGCATCTCTCCGAAGGGTCAGCAGGTCGGGGTCTCGATCACCTCGGCTTTAAGCGGCAACCAAGGGAAAGCTGCATTCTTATTGCGGTAGCAGACTCGCGTATCCAGGATGCGAGCCCGGTCGAAGCTTGCCTCCACCGCTGCACTAGCCTCCAAGTCCAGAGGGTGTGTGGCCTCGTACTTGGTCCAGACGCCCCACTCTTTCACTAGAGCCTCGTGGTAGTCCGGCAACTCCTGCTCCGGTATCATCGAGTAGGGGATCTCCTTCTCCAGTGCTTTCTGCTCCTTGCGTGTGGTGCAAGCACTCCGGTTCACCGCCTGACACAGGACGTTCGCTGCAAAGTGCTGGTCGGGCTTAGCGTAGAGCTCCTCGAGGGTCGCGGGCACGTAGAGGTTACACAGGTGCACGTGGGCCTCGGGAGCCTCGTTCTCGGTCTCCTCCAAACGAAGCCGCTTTGCTTCGGGCTCCTCCGGATGAGGAGCCGCATAGCTCCGCATCGTAGGGGACGCTTGAGTCAAATCCGTCCCCACCGACGGCGCAGCGGAGGCTATCATTTCAGGTTCCAGCCGCCTGGGTGAGCGCTCGCGTTCCTCCGGTCCGAGGCCTTCTGGTAGTGCCTGATCGCGAACAGGCGGTCCTCGAGGAGTAAGTGGAACGCCTCCAGGAGTAGGTGGCAGAGTGCCTTGGTCGCTGAAGTCGAGGTCGTCCAGGCCTTCGAAGAAAGGGATAACTTCCCCTGGATCGTGAGCCACAGCCTCGGCGGGGCCCTGGCCTCGGATATCCTCGAAGGTCTCGGGCGGCGCGTCCAGGATGTTCTGCAGCTCGCTCTCCTGCACCCGCCACAGCTCTGTGCCATATGCTGGCCGGAGCTGCTCTTTCGACACCAAAAGGCACCTTCCGCCAGACGTCACCCAGTAGTTGGACTGCTCATGGCTGCCCTTGTGGGGCCCGATGATCGTGCCCCTGTACCAACCGGCTGGGACGCGCCTTGGCTTGCGCGACTTGGGATCCTTCTTCATCTTAGCTTCACGCCAAAATGCGACCAGCTCGCCCGGCTCGTAGGTGTTCCGTCCCGGGCGATCTAAACGAAGAACGGCCTGTCTTAATGAATTGTTGACAGCGAACTCGGCGACCTTGGCATCCGCAGTCGCCCGCACTTGTTGCCGCCGCCGAAGTTCGGCATCCTGTTCCAGCCCTTGCATTGCTTGTATCTTGCCGTCGGGACTGAGCAAGTCCCAGGGCGTCTTAGGGCTGCGTCCAAAAAGCCATTCGTTGGGGGAGCAACCGCAGGTCCGGATCTTATCGTTGAGAGCGGCGCCGATCATCGCACCCAACATCTTCATGTCCGCGGCTCCCGACAGGGAGTGCTCGTCTATCGCCTTGGCCGCTGCATATCGGAAGGCCCGGTTGTAGGCCTCCACTTGTCCTGCCTGCCAGTGGCTCTGGGCCGCGATCGGCTCGATCACCGAGCCGAGGGCGTTAATCTTGTCGGCAAAGTCGCTCTCGAACGCGCCATCCTGGTCAACGACAAGCACGTCGGGGTATCCTGCCCAGGTGGCCCATATAGTTGTGAAAACTTCGAAAACATGGGCCGGCACGCGTGACTCAACTGGACAGAAGACGTTATAGGAGCCGTTGGGCTCGAGGACGTGCAAGTAGAGGTGGCCTGCCTTCTCCGCGTCGTGTAGGTGCACAAAGTCCAAACACACTCGGGAGTTGAACGGCCCGGCGGTCGCCTTCAAGGAGGTAGGTCTTGGTGGCAACGGTCTCCGGGTCCGCTCACACGTAGCACACCGAAGCCGCCGACTCAGTGCTATGGCCTCGGGAGCCACTTTCGAGTTTTGCACCAAGGCGCGAGTAAAGTCCTCTTGGCGCGGATGCCCCAGGTTCCTGTGCATTCGCACCAGCGCCTTCGCGAGCACTTTCTCGTTAGGCTTCAAAGGGCCTCCCGAGAACCAGCACTCCCCAGCAAAGTCTTGTCGAGCCAGCCCTTCACGCTCAAGTCCTTCCTGAACTTCGTCGCGCACTGGCTCGTCTTCGGGTGCCGGCTGTGCTGCTGCCTGCCGGGCTGGAGCTGGTGCATCGGGTTCTCCCGGAGCGTAGCCGAGCACAAAGATGGCCACTCGCACGGGGGCCACGAAACGCTCGCGAGGGGCCTGGGCGTCCTTCAAGAACTCCGTCTCCACTGTGATGCTGTTATCGTTGTGGAGCATCACGGATGCCCGATGGCATTCCTCCAGTCCGGTCTTCACCCGCTTCGCCTTCGGCAGGTAGGCCACTTGCACTGACGCAAGTTGCCAAGGCACCAGCGCTTCCACCTTCTTGTAAAGGTCGGTGCCAGGATGCACCTGAAGAGAGTGGGCCGTCTTGCGGCCGAGGAGCTCCTGTGCTTGTTCCAACAGGGGCCTCCAGTCGTCTTCGCGACGCACCGCGTCAACGTAGTGAACGGCTCGGCTTGTAGTCGTCGCCCACGTTGTCGATGTCCCGAAGTCCTCCGCAGAGACCACGTCCCGGTAGGCGCGGCAGATCGCATCTCCCAGCGCCGGCGGGTAGAGCGGCTGGTGCTCGTCGGTCTCCTTGGCGACTCCCGGCGTCAGCCCTCTCACCAGCAGAGGATGCGTGGCGACGAACCGCACCCTCCGAGTCGTGACGTGGTTCCCTTTGTTGGCAAAGTCGTAGGTGAGGAGCTCCGAGGCGGTCTCGTAATGTTGTTCCCGAAGTCCTTCAAGTTCTCGGCCACTTCTGGTGGCCACCTCGCTGGGGACCTCGGCCATCGCGTGTCCGCCTCGTCGCTTCTGCTCCTCGAAGATGCGCTGGGCTAAGTGCAAGTAGATCCGGTCGTCTTCCTGCTGTGTCCCTCTAGGATCCGGGCCCGGCGAAGAAGCGCCAACTCGGGACCAAGGGGTGTATGGAAACTCCACCACCGCCAGCCGAGGATTGAACTTCGCCAGGATGTCCAGCAGCCATTGTTGATCTGCGGGTCGCCGTAGGTCTAGGCCATAGCGAAGATCCACCGGTTGAAGCACCTTAAGGTCCCAGTGGTGCACAGCCCGGATCGAAACCATTGAGTGGCCACCGAGGATTTCGACCAAGTCGTAGCCAAACTTCCTCCGGGGCCAACGGCTACTGTCCAACCGTGCGCCGGTCATTTGCCGCTCCAGCCGAGCAGCCTTTAGCGCATTTCTCGCATGGCTCACCATCCTGCGTACTTGCCCTCGTCGAAGTCGAGCAAGATCACCGCAGTGGTCTCCGCCTAGTCCTCCTGGTCCGTCACCGGCTCCACCTCCGAGTAGCTGTGGTTCGAAATGGACTCCGTGTCCTCGTCGATCTTCTTGCCGCTCGCCTTGGCGGCCGTCTTCCTCTCGTCCGGCGGAGCCTCGAACGCCATCTTGACCTTTGGTGGAGCGCCCGGCTTCGTGTACCGGTCGGTGGCTTTCTCCTCGCGACGACGATACTCGCGGGCTTCGTGCTGCCGACGGTCCTCCAGACGTTGTGCTGCCTCTCGCTGGAGTCGTTCGCGCTCGGCCGGCTTCAGCTTCCGAAGGTCGATCTTGTCCAGGTCCTCCGAATCCTCGCCATCCTCCAGCATCGGGCCTTCCGACTTCTCGGTGATGGTGGTCAAGTTCGTGGAATCCTTGCCCTTGCGCTTGCTCGAGGATGCCCGCGGTAGCTGCGAAGCTTTCTTGGGCGGAGCCGCCGAGGAGGGAGCCGGCCGTGACGAGTAGCAGTCCTGCAAGCTTGGAAAGCGGCCGCCAGTTTCCTGAACGATGCCCTTCTTGAGGATCTTGCCGCCGGGGATGTTCCGGTAGCCGTGCTCCAGCACATACACCGGAATCGTCTCCGCCGTGTAGGGCACCTTGTAGGTGACAGCTTTCCACATCTTGCCGCAGGCCAGACACTCCATGAACTGGCCGTGGTTGTTGCCCGTGCGCCTCGCCAAGTCGGGGTGATGCCGGCACCGGTCGATCTTGTTGGGGTAGCATCCCGCGCTCCGCTTGGTCTGCCCCGGTGCTGTGGTCGTCATTGGAGGTGTCGTCGCTGGCATCATCTCGGGTCCCCTCTCGATCCGGGCCATCGCCTCTAGCCCTGCCATGATGGACGGGGCCCGGTACTTGGCGAGCCGCATCGTCACGATGTGCGCCTCGAGGTCCTGCTGCAAGTGGATCAAGTCCTTCAGGCCCGAAGCCATACGGGCCCAGTCGTGGCATCGCGGCCGCTGGTAGCTGCTGCTGCTCGTTGAAGTTGCCGAGCCGAGCCGCATGAGGTCGGTCGCTAGAAAGGTTGCTATGCTTGTGCTGCTCCGACCGAACGGAATCTCGAAGCAACCCTTGCGACGTGAACGAGGAAGGTCGAGGTGACGGGCATGCTGAAGGTCAAGGTGCTGGGCTGTGCTGAGGTCGAAATGGTGCACCTTCTTATGGGACACTAGTCGTAACTCGGCTGGGTCAGCGTGCACCACGGTACCATCCCTCAACGTCACATGCACCTTGGTGGGGGGCTTAAGCAAGGCGATCTTATCGAGCTGCTTCGCCCCTTTGCCGAAAAGGTACGTCACTCCCACCCACGGCTCTCTCGGAACATTTCTTGGAGGGTCGGTGCGGTTAGTAAACGATTAGACCAGTTGATCCGAATAGCTATGTATGCTAAGTCCACTTTGCAAGTGATGTAAGTGGACTTAGTAAGTCGTCCAAGTTGTATGAGTGGTGTCTTAAACAAT